ATGCAATCAATTAAAGTGGATATTTTATCTCTTGTACCATCAACAATGGTGTTAAAGTGTTTGGTTGGTATGGTAACAGCAAGCCCGATCATCTGGATTGCAAATAACCATATTATGGCTATATTGCTCGTTTACATGCAAGTTCAAAATCTATGCCCCATTTCCACTGGTTACTTGTAGAGATAATCCCGATGGCAGCTATCATAAAGCTAAACTGGGATGTCCGTTGCACAACCAAGAAGTTACTAACCAGCTAGTAACTTCTTGGTACTGGTAACTGTTTAGATACTAGAGCAATCTATATATAAATTTAGTCTACATGACAATTCCAATCCATTAACAATCTATTTGCGCCCATCGTCGGCCTTCAGCTAGATATTCTAAATGTATTTATCAGTAGTGTGTAAGCCATGAAAGGGTGTGAAAGTCCATGTTAGCTTGCTTATTCAACGGGTTGGTTTAACATTAGTGTCTAGACAAAATATACAGAAAGTGAAGATCAGCGGTGTAGTATATAGGAGGTAGGGAGGCATGTGCCCCCAATCACATGACAAAAATAAAGGAGATAGGGAGAGAGAGAGAGAGAGAGGTAGAGAGAAAGGGGGTGGCAAGGGATTGTGTTAAGTGATATGATGCATTATGTTATCATGAGGTTTGGAACCTAAATATAACCTTCTATTCATTACAATTAATTTCGACGTCTTTTCAAAGAATTAATTATATAATGTGACACTTTTAGTATATATTTCATATTATGTTCTAATGTTGTCAATTATGTAAATTCTTTTTTTTTGGTGAAATGTGAAACAAATAAACTTGAAACTTGAACTTGAAACTTGGAACCTAAATATTTGCTTTTCCCCCAAGATCCACTTGAAAGTGATACATTAATAGTACAGTGTCGGTTATTATCACATCCATGACTTGGTACTTGAACCATAAAGCATGATTTAAACATCATCTGAAATCAGGCAAAAGGGGAGCAATAATTGATTTCTTCATCACATCAATCTAAGGTATAATAACCTTGGAGCATCAATGCATGTTGGATGGCCCATGAAAATCCTTGAATACAGTTGGAACACAGAGTACAAACGAATGGAGCAAGAACGCAAGAGTGAGTCTATTATTTATATATATCATCATGGAATTTTGAAGGACGTGTTAGAGTATGGGCTGCTAGGCAACACCACGCCCGGTACTTGGTTACTAATGAACAGACTTAAGAAAAAGCTCGGCATTGTGTTCGGGAAATATAAATAATTGAACTGATTTAGTTGGGGAGAAAAGAGAGGGAGAAACCAATGTAGAAAAATGGTAGATAAACAAGAGAGAGAGATACAGACACCCAGACAGACGGATAGACAGACAGAGAGAGAGAGAGAGAGAGAGAGAGAGATTCGAGGATGGGAGAAAAGATGTAGTCAATAGTGAAAAAAGGAGTGCTCGAGAGACAGGGAGAGACGGCGATACTGAGAGAAAATAATATACAAGACCGTGAGGGAAGAGGAGGAAAGAGAGTGGCCGGAAAGGGGATTGGGGTCGAGTAAAAACTGAGGAGAGACAACCTGAAGAAAAGAAAAAAAGGTATAGAAGTGGGGAGAGAGAGGGAAGGCAGAAATTGATGAAGATGTTCGGGAAGGAGAAAGGGATGGAGTAAGGGAGGGAGGGACGCGTATGATCTAAGACTGTTTTCTGCTTACTTTCAAACCAAATTAAAGATACCTCTTACAATACAAGTATTAGTCATAAGTCGCGGTACCTGAAATCCGTTTCCTACTGTTTGCTCTCTTAAGTCCTGTGACGCAAAGCATCAAAACAACGCATGTTTTTCGCTGAACGAACAATACAATTCCCGAGCAGACGACTTCAAGATACTGGCGATTCGATCATGAGAAAAGATGATCAATATCGAGACAAAATCTGATCGATAGATGTCGCCCTTAATCCTTTGTGAGGCTTTACACATTTCATTACGAGCCTGAAGACTCTGGTCGATATGAAAACGCTTTAAAGCTCGGGGTCGTTCGAGATTACAGATATCGTTATCTTTCGATTTCTGACTAACGAGCGGATTTTTTAGTTGATACCTATAGTCCGACTTCACTATTTGTGTGTGTTCGCTTTGTGGAATTAGACATTATATTTGGGATACTGATTAGATAAAACATCGCAGTAAATGCATTTGGCGAAGGCTCTTTGGCTAATATGTTTGGAATATGCTTGCGCAGTGGAGTAACATAACAGGTACATATACATTTACTCTTACTCTGTGTGTTTTATTCCGTCAATATGGTAAGTGAACTCTGTTGTTCTCTAGAAATATTTCTCTGATCGTAAGCTCTTATTATTTGAAACTAAGAAGTTTAAATTTTATCTATTTTGTACAAAATATGTGTGATACAATTTATCTCAAATACGACAATATTTGTAGATACATGAACCAAGGAATGTGTTTGACTAGCTTTTGTAGATGTGTTTACTATTCGAATGAGCATTACTTGGTGCATGACTTCTTTTTCGTAACACGCCCATCTGTGTTAATATAATCTAGTTTGATGTATATTTTGAATAATAATCCGTAATGTTCAGTTACGTTCTTTGATGAATTCAACTCATTTACCTTTCAGTCTTGATACACACTTTATATACTATTATGATTAAAATAAACTAAACTATATAGGTAATGATTAAGAATGTTGCATTTGAACGTTCATGCAAGAAGATGGAATATTCTACACACACACAAACAAAACAAATCATGGTAAATGTATATAAAAATGGATGGAACCACGTTTTGAACAATTTACTGATTAACATCCCCAGCTAGCTATAATACTAACACTTGTTTATGGAGCATTTATAATGTTAAACCTTGGTTAAACGCTATATTTGTGTTTAAGATAACGTTTAGAGATGTCCATGCAAATTAAGCTATTATAAAAGACTATAAGTTGGACTTAAATATGACAGGTCATTCATGCCATAATTTGCTCTCACCATTTACTGGCAATGGTCTGTCAAGGGACGTACACATCGTAGTCACAAGTCTACAGAATTTACTTTTTTGATAGTTCATTATTGAAGGAAAAAGTATTATCTAAAGATCATAGTTAAGAGACCAATGGTGAGAGCAACCAGTGGCAAGAATGGCCTACCATATTTCAGTCCAACTTAAAGTCGATCTTAGTCTTTGTGAAACACTCCCCTGGTATATAATCTGGGTTCGTTATCACCAAAAGAAGGAGAAATGCCCATAGCAATGGGACTTCAGAGACATGTGACATGAGGGCTTCGTCCACACTTTGAAACTGCTTCTCGATATATTTCAAATATAAGTGTATACGAAAAGCAATCATTGATTGATTGATTGATTTTATTTATTCATTTCATATAACAATTGTTTGCACAATAAAGAATATAGTTGACAAAGAAAGATCAAAATTATGAAATGATAATCAGGGAACATTTCTGTTATAATATTCTTCCAAACTGAAATTAAAAAGGACGAGAAAGCTAATAGATTATTTCCATCTGTACCTTGATGGCAAAAAAAAGTTGTGTCTCTGATTTCCTTTACACCTTCCTATCTAATATCTGATAAAGTTTGATCTTCAAAAAGTTTATCATACTGAAAGGTTCCTACATCGGGAAGAACCTGAGGACTGGATTTAGGTTATCTATACAGCTTTAGAAATGTGCGATGTTTTGAATTTACACCATGTCTTTATTATAATAAGTAATAAATTATAATATTCAGCTTTTATATAGCGCTTAATACATCTCGGACGTCTCTAAGCGCTTTACAGATATACCAGTATCCCGGTCATTGGATACAGTGCTTGCCCGTACATAATGTTTGTACAATCTCCACTCCCTGGGGAGCATTCCAGCCAGGCGTTCCTATAATGGATAACATGAATTTGTAAATGACAACATCGATAGCTGATTTCCTTTTCCCTCGAACCGCCCCCGCCCCCTCCCCTACCGCCCGACCACACTGATTTTACCAAATCTATTCTTTTGGTTGGAGAGTATACACACACACACACAAAAAAAAAACATTGAACCTTACTAAACATACGGAAAAACATGTAATTTACAAAGAAGTCCAGACTTTGAACGTCGGGATTAAGTTGGATCATATTATGCATATATTCTTTGGACATGATGTACCTCGATCAGCTTAACATCTAGGCAACGACGTATACTCCCCAGACAAAACAATTGATTTTCTCTTTACGGATTGGGACGGCTGATTGCCTTTCTGCTTTTCCTCAAGGACACTGAAATCAATTGTTCATGGTTTTGTCCATTGTATGTTTAAAACGGCATCGACTATATGTGCACTTTTTGTATTTTCATGATTTTATTATTCATTTTCGGGGGAGGGGGTGAGTAGCAAGTGAGCATAAGTTGATCCACTGATTGATAGCCCACTTAGTTTTTCTCTTCTTTATTTCAAATCTATTTTTTACAAACGCTACATGAACAAACAGATATTATATCATCCTGTAATAAATTAACGACTTTTAAACTGATAAATTGATGTACGTTATTTAGGCCTATAGCTATGTCATTACAGAATGAAGGTATTTTGGGAAGAATGCGGAGGTTATTGACGCTCCATAACATAGACGACTATTATAAACTAGGTTTAATACAGTCCACATTAATGAGTTATGATTAGGTTCAATCAACCCACGCTTTCACCACCAGTTTACATACCATTCTTTATGAGGGCTCCGCAGTTGTTATTATCCCACCATTGCCAGGTACCTGCATAATCCATCTGGTTCTAGAGGGACAAGCTTGATAAAACAGCTTGTCTAGGGATGTAAACAACGAGCAAGGATCGAACCCGGGACCAAAATATTGTATGAGAGTCAAGAGCCTTCCCAAGATACTTCAGTGCTCCCATTTTCTATTTTGTGTCATATTAATCATATTTCTTTCAGAAGCATTAATTTATTAAGGGTCGTGTTGTTCTCTTGTTTTAGGCCACTCCAGAAAGCGACGATCTCGGTTACCAGGACGACTGGGAGGACGAGGAAGAAACAGACGTCGCCCACCAGCAACCTCCCGCCATTCGTCGACCTCCAAGAGAGGAGGTCGAGGACGACTACGAGCCACGAGGTGACGCCATGTTCGATCTAACCCCACCTCAGGTGCGTCGTAATCTGCCTCCAGCTCCAAAGCAACAGCATCCCAGGCAAGGGAAGTTCACCACAAAGGTCGTGACCTTCTACCGCAATGGCGACAAACATTTCAAGGGCATCACCCTTCCGGTCAGCATCCGGAACTACTCCACCATGGATGTCCTCAAGCACTTCCTTACGGGGAAAGTGGCCCTGTCGTACGGCGTCCGCAAGATCTACTCGCTCAGTGGCCTCGAGGTACAGGCCATTGAAGACTTTGTCGACGGACGCGCGTATGTCTGTTCCAGCGGAAAGTTCAGCGATCGGACACCTTATGGCCGGGCCGATCACACCAACAGCTATTGGTCGACGGAAAAACCGATGAAAGGTGTCCGGGGTTCAGACAGGAACCTGATAATCAATGAGTCGGACCCGACCAATAATGTGTTGATAGAGGAATTCCCTACCAGCCGTTTCGGGAAGTTCGCCCGGCGGCTCTCGGTAAACGCAGTGACACAGAACCCTTCTATAGAACCACAGGTAGCACAGTGGGCCAAACCGAGGGTGATACAGATCGTTAGCAATACACACCGGGCCAGCAGAGCCAAGATCCTGATCAATCCAAAGACATCTCAAACCTTCGATGACGTTCTCAAGGACATGAGCCAAGCAATTATGATGCATAACCCGCCTGTCAGGAAACTCTTTACTTGGAGGACAGAAGACGAGGTAAGATGGTCTTTCTTGTATATCTGTCTTTCCAAGACATGCACAAGTTATGCAATTTGATTTGTTTTGTTGTTCCCCAGTATAAATTCATTTTCAATTGACTAGTAGTTTATATTATTTGTTAATATATGTTTCTTGTCTTAGTGATGTGGATACTAGAACATTGACGATAATGTTAAAGGCAATTATACGCGTTAACTACGATTTTAATCATCATATGAAACACATCATAAGTATTGCTCTATACGCTTTTGTCCTAGACCTCTATTCAAAGTAGGATCTTAATCTCTCTCAATTCTTCCCAAAATTACAAACTATCGGTGTAATCAAGTTGATTTCTATGCTGTATTTACCTCCATTTCCCCCTGATATTGGCCCTAAAATTATAACAAACTTATTTTCCACTTTGCATTTTTCTTGTGGTGAGGATCATGCAAGTTGTATTAATTGACGCCCATATCGACATCGTTCTCCTCCAGGTTCTTAGCTTTACCCAACTCTTTCGCGACTTCAAGGACCAAAGTATGTTCATTGCTTGCGGATATGAACCCTTGAAACGGACATCGAACCTCGGCAGACAGCGGGACGAGGCCGACGATCTCAACGCTTCTGCAGATAGAATAGTTATGGACGACATCATTGATGACTACCCTAAGCCTTCACAGCGAGGTCCATCGATGGCGAAGGTCGGAAGGTACGCGATGATGTACCAGGATTGGAAGCGGTTTAAGGATAAAAGATGGAAGAAAGAGGAAGAAACTGTTCAACCTGGTAAGCATAAGAAGGGTCTTAGTCTATGTTTCTTTATTTCCATTGTTACACATTCGTCAGTTTCATTATCTTACTGCGATCAAAATGATGAAAATGCTTGTCACAAATGTCATGAAAGCGTATTCATTGGCAAGTGTTTTGGAAATCGAAGAGGGGCAACAACAGATGCTGCAACGAATCGTGTTTCCCCCTTCTGGTCAATTTATTCTTAAGTATTGCCTTAACACCTGGATATAATTGATGGATCTGTTGTATCTTTTTTTTAAAGATGTGTTTAATTGTACCTCCGAATCATAGGGCAAGAAGATAAACGACAACGGCATCGCCAGCAGCTTCCTGTATGAAGTTTCTCATCTATATCTGCAACCATATTTGGCAAGAATCCTCCTTTAAAGAGTTGATAGTGTTGATTACAAGTGATATGTGTTACCTACTTGCAGCATGTAAACAGAGTCATACCAGAGATCAACTGCTCTTTTTTTTTTTGAGTTGTCTACAGTTCTGTTAGCCCAAGTGCATCCAAATTCCATCTCGAATGAGATGATATTCACCGAGAATTTCACTCTTCGGTTGCCACAGTGACTGTGACCATTTTGTTTAGCAAGTCCTAAACGTGCAGGCATATGCTTATTCAGACTTTCTTATTCTCATCTACAAGCTTATCCTGCAAGGTCTATGATACCCGTCCGTTCCAGGGAACCTCCCCTACCGCCGATGAAACCCCGGAAGGCATTCCTCAGCAACAGCCAGGACAGCGCCACCACCGACGAGAGTTTAGAACTGATGGACTTCGAAGAAGAGACGGGAAAGCCTGCCCGAGGTGTCCGCATCATGGAAGGCCGAATGCCGTACAACCTCAGGGAGAGTAAACAGAGGTTGCTTGATAAAAGGATACAGGTACGATTATTACATTGGTCAGAGACACGTACCGTACATCGAATGATGATCCTGTTTAAAATGGAAATGTCGGAAGATTAGAGAATGTTCAATAGGTCTGTGGGTTTCGCAATTACAATAGTCATTGGCAAGACCATAAATTGACTTCCGAAAGAAGAAGTTGTTATAAGTCATCTGACATTATTAGATTCAAATCATTGCTGTGAGAAACAGCTCTCGAATAAATCAGATATCTCAGATGTCCATGAATATGGAATTGCATATAGAGATTAAACAATAGACGGGTGACGAAGAAATAGAAAGAAAGACATGTTTTTGTGATTATGATGTCAATTCTTTTTTCAGTTCACGATTGCAGTTATTATTAAAGCTACATTTCCTGTCAAAAAAGAAAGTAAGGATTTCTGTATCCACCACGATGCGTTTAACCTTTACATGGCACTCATATGATGGAATTTCATGGCTGTGTACAGACAGGAATAACATTCCTTTCAAGCCGCTCCCGACTGTCTAGTTACAGAACTCCCCAAAGATCCGAAGATCAAGTCGATGATGACAACAATATGACCTCAATAAAAAAATATATATCATTAATGAGCAAATTCAGCCGGTAATCAGTAGGGCCTACTGATTTGGTGGGTTAATAGGTTACCAGGGTTAACCTTGTTTTCATTTTGCTCCTGACTCTCTAGATACAGAACTCTCCTGATCTGAGCCAATCCGAAGATCAAGTCGAAGAGGATCACCAGGGATCGAGCAAGAACACCAAGCCTCAAGGAGCTAGACGAAAAGAGAAGAAACACACGAAACAACAGCACCAGCCCAAGAAGTTCCTACCCGCTCCGATGAGCGTAGAGGTACACGGTCAACTCCGAGAATTCCTACCACCTTCAGAAGAACCCAAGAAGCAACCCGACTCCCCGCCCAAAAAGAAACTCAAGCTAGAGTGGGTGTATCCTTTTGTTAACTCCTGAGCCATTTTTCTCTTTTATTTTTTTAGATAGCTCCTGCTTAAGTGACGCTTGTATTTGTCCCTTCAAGGAATTGAATACAACCTTTCATTTTTTGGAATATTCACGATATGTGTATCCATCGAAAAGAAACTTTTGCCTGGAGCTTCCGATGAACGTTTAAGGTACAAAATGCCTTTTTATCAATTCCTGCCCACCATCAAGACTGCCCACCAGACCTACAACGTCGGTCTAGCGAATGATAATCCACAGAAACGTTGACCTAGTCCCAGCAAGACTGACTTTGTCTCGTGGGCTTTCACTCTCGTGGGCTGTTGGTTTCTTGGGCTGTCGGTTTTGTCGGTCGTCTGCCTCGTGGCCTGTCGGTCTCGTGACCTGGTGGTCTCACGGCTGTAGCCTCATTGTGGTATCGGATTCATTTTGGTCGCTAGGTGGCATTTGTTGTTAGATTCATACAAAATATGAAACAGTTAACATTCTTCTTTCAACTGCTTACACCATGTGGTAGCCAATGGCGTCCACCTATTGAAGAAGGCACTGGAACGATTGCGGGGCGGGGGGGGGGGGGGGCACCGGTCTTACTTGGAGCATAAAGTGCGAATTTACAAAGCTACCGATTGGGGGTGGAAGGGAGTTCGTGTGTTTTCTTTTCTCGTCCCTTACCTCTTCTCCCTATCCCTTCTTTCCCTCCTCGTTTTTCCCTGTCGTTTTATTTTCGTTCACTACTCGATTGGAGGGGGGAACGTGCCATCATGCCCCCTGTAGCTACGCGACTTGTGAAAGCGTAACTTTCTTGTTTCCTAATCCTTGACCAAAACTGCTATCACAGCTATGGCTACCGAGGATTTGACATGCGTAATAACCTCTATGTCCTCCCGTCTGGTGAGCTGCTCTACACAGTAGGAGCGGTGGCTATCTTGTACGACAGGGATCTAGATGAACAGAGACATTATCTGGGCCACAATGAAGATATTCAAAGGTAAGAGTTTTTGGCGATTCCTTAATCATGGTGTGGCATAGGAGCAGTCGCCATTAAACAAAAAGAGATTAGGATTTTTTCATATCATTAAACAAAATCTATGATTTTATTTGTGTAAAATAATGCTAATGTCAACATTCTCTGTGATATTCTTGAGCTTAAATTTAATCGAAAAGTCTTTTGGCATAACTTTGTTTACAGTATTGCCGTTCATCCCAGTGGCACTTACATAGCAACAGGTCAGAAGGCGGGACAACTTCCTGATTCTACGGTAAGAATTGATTTCAACCTATGATATTTTTATTTCTACTCCCATCTATTTGTTTCTATATCTCTCTCTCGTCATTCTCTCCTTTATTTCTCTTCTATTTATCTCTGCAATGTCTTCTCTCTTGTCCTTCCCCTATTTCCTATCTCCTCTCTATTTACTCCGTCATGCCTTTGTATGCCTCATCTCTGTCTTTCTTTGTATTGATATCTCCAGCTAGTTTTCTCTTTCCTAGACGGATCAAAGGAAACTTACCCCATTCCAATTTTAATGCCGCTTAAAAAAATAGAGAGAGGGAGAGAGAGAGAGAGAGAGAAAGAGAGAGAGAGAGAGAGAGAGAGAGAGAGAGAGAAAGAGAGATTGAGAAAGAAATGTAGTGAGCAAAATATGAAACGATGACACATCTCCCGTGCCCACTTCCTTCCCATCACTCTTTCCCCCATTTTAATAACAGCAGGTAGTATCCCCCTCTCTGTTTATTACTCTCTCTCTCTCTCTCTTTCTCTCTCTCTATCTCTTTCCCTTTTTTAAAAATCTTTTCTCTCTCTCTCTCTCTCTCTCTCTCTCTCTCTCTCTCTCTCTCTTGTTTTCCCTCCTTTTCTTTCTCTCTCTTTCTCTCTCCCTCTCTCTCTTTCTGTCTGTATCTCTCGTCTTTTGCTTCAGTAATTAATGCATTGTTCATTTTGGGATGTGTTGATTCCTTTTCAGCAACAATGTACCCAATTATTGCCAATTTTGCAGATTACAATACGCAATCAATATGTCATGGTTATTCGTTATCAAGCAATCTGAAAGTATTAAAGGGCTCATTAAATTCAAGGCCTTTCAGCTGTCAAATAAAGTTCAATTGTCGTTTAACTCGGTGTCATCATACATACCTAAAATAGTGCTCGTTCAGATAACACGCGGCAAAAAACCGTGGCGGTTTTGTCATGATGACTCAAAGTGTAATATGCTTTACATTTCTGATTCTTGACTCTGAATGACCTAAGTTTTATCAGTTTGATATGGAAAGGGAGATACAATCAGGGGAGTGCTTCACAAAGACTCAGATTGATTTAAGTTGGATTTGAACTATGGCAGGCCTTTCATGCCACTAGTTCCTATACCATTCCTGGCATTGGTTTCTCAAGGGACGTACAAATCGTGGTCACAAATCTACAGAATATACATTTTTGATAGTTCTTTATTGATGGAAAAATATTATCTAAAGATCATAATTTCTAAGGTATTTTCCTTCTAATTTACACCTGGTTCAATACTTTTTAAGGGCACAAATCGTATACCGTAGTATTTGTCCACGTCCTAAATATAACTGAATTAAGTTTACAATGTAAGCAACTTTTTGGTTTGTTCTCTGTTTTCGTCGGTTCACCGCGCCATATCAGAACAAGCCTCCAATCCCATTATTTGACTGTTTTATTCCCCTAGACGTGAGTTTTAGTAAGTACCGTTGATCCTGCAAAATATACTGTTTTCTTGTTAAGTTAAATATATCATATCTATGAAAAATAATAAGAAATGCGATCGATATATTCACCCCACAAAGCCGTCAGATGTCGCTGCGTGTCATTGTGTAAGTAACCATGGAAACCCCCGAATCGTTTGAGTTATTTCACAAATCATCCACCTTTTTCTGTGTGATATTAAATCGTTAGTCTTCATATTGAAACTGCACCGTTGTTGTTCTATGACACCCTGATTTGTGTGTATGTGTGCAATTCAGATGGACAGAAACGAAAAAACCTTCAATTGTTTTTTCTGTACTTTTTCATGTTTAATATTGAATTTAACACATACTATATTTTATGACTTAATCTGTATCTATCATACTTATGTCTGTTCCTAAAACTTAGTAGAGGTTTGTTTGATATTACCATTCGTCTGCAACGTTTAATCACTATTATGTGTCACATAGCAGGAAACTGTTTTGTGTTTCAGACAACGTAAAATAGAAAATTGGAAATAAACACAAAAAGAAGATGAAGTCATCGCCAATGAACCCGAAAGGGTGAGGGGGGGGGGGGGGGGGCTATTACCCGAAATGATTTTCTTTTAGAACCTGACTTTATTTCATGGCTTTGTCGACTCATAATCATGATTTTCATACCTGCTAACTATTAGGTTATAAAAAGTTTACGCAGTTCTTTTTCTTGATCGGAAGTCTGTCGGGGGGGGGGGGGGGGGTTAACTTGCTCCTTTACCCCTCCTTCAAACACTCAACTGCTGTGAAGAAATGAATCAGTAAATGTCATTTGAGGCAGGATCAATGATAAAGATGTCACATAATATGTGCTGCCATTGTTTTCTCACATTATTACCCTTGTTCGTTCTTTCTATTAAGCGATCCGCTTATTTAAATTTCGGCTACTTTCGTAATGGACATGCATTTTTTCATCGTTATGTTTGAAAATGATTTCCTTTTCTCTCTCCATTTTTGTAAAGTCTCCACTCTCATGTGAAAATCAACATTTTGATAATGTAATTCCAGAATCTCACATAAGCTTTACGCATTTTCACAACTTGAAAACACGTGGAGATTGATACCTGGAAGGATAGCAGAATTAAAATAGATCAAGGAATTCTATTATTCCCTGGAATGTTTGAAGTATTTAAAACATAGTTAGCAAAATGAAATACATTTTGAATAAAGCACTACACAGAGGAACGTATTAATGAGCTATGTCAGGTGTTTTGGGCAGTCAATTATTACAACAGAACATAGAATATAGGATATGCCTATCACCTGAGTGCCCAGTGCTCACTTAACATTTAGAGCGACTTCAACGGGGTATTATTTTATATATCATATACTTCCTCTCGTATTGCTGGTAAATGTATCTTAAATCGGTTCCTTTGTTTATAATGAAGATGTGTTTATGTGATTTCTCTTCTTTTTTTTTCTTCCACAAGTGCGCCTTGAGCAATTGATTTCAAATGGATTCGGCTCCTTAGAAATCTCATACATTATTATTATTATTATTATTATTATTATTATTATTATTATTATCATCATCATCAACATCTTTATTATCATTATATAACAGGCACATGTGAGAGTGTGGGAGGTTCAGTCTCTCTGCACACACGCCATCCTTGGTCTCGAATTCTTCTCAGAAGGTATCGCTTGTCTCAGCTTCTCAAATGAGGTATAAACGAATTTTTGTTTCCCCTTCAGTATGGACTGCTATTTCTGTCAGTACTATTCGACAATCTTATTTTGTTTTCATTTCACTTGGCGAACGGTTTTTATTTTTTAGATAAATTTGGTAAATTAAAAAATCTGACACGTTTGTATGGTATGATTTTTTTTGTATGGGCGAGCCTGTTGGCAGTTTAGTCAAACACCTCATTTCTCCCTCTACTCTCAAAATGTTCGCGGCGCTATATTGGCACTGAATAAATAACAATGATTCACGATTTAATGAAACAAGCCCGAGAGCTTAATATATTGAAAAATTAATAATGTTCCCTGATGATGACTTTTCACCTTTATAATCGTTTTTGTTGTTGTTTATAACAGAACGATGGAGAATGGCTGATGGCGGTCGAGCAGGGCAATGATCACGTGATCAGTGTCTGGCAATGGAAAGAAGATTGCGTCTACTCAAAATCAAGCGTGAGTCAGATTTTTAAAATAACTTTAAAAAATAATGATGATCATTTTACTATTCAATGTGACATTGTATTCGTCTTTTCACCCTGTTTATTATCTATGATATAACGTTAACTTTGTCTAATCAAACAAGAAAGATTTACTTATCCTCATGCATCCTGTAACTCTTCACTCACCTTCTCTTTCTATATTTGCTTCTGTTCTATCCACCTCCTCTGCCTACATCTGGTCCCCTTCTAACTCTCTCGGCAACCTTGTTATTTCGAAATTTATTTCATGTAACATCCACTTGGAGATGTTATGATTCTATTTGGCATTTAACCATTACTGAAACTGTCTATGATAATGATTATTTCTTTTCTTAAATTGATTTGTAGACGTACCCTATTAAAAGTGGACTATAAATACTTCAATAAATTCAATTTCAATTGTACATGTCGGAACTTCACATCATGTTTGTAAGCATTGTGAGATTAATTTATACGCAAGTCGACTAACATGTTTTACTCGGAAAGGTTATGAAGTACCAGTATTATATTCTATCAAAGTTATTACAAATAAAGGTCTCCGACATCACTTTGTAAAGATTCGTCAATAAAAATAGACTTTATATAATATAGTCTGACTTCACTCATAAAAGCAGTAATAAATTTGAAAAAGAACGTGTTGTGTATGCTTGTAAACTGAATAACAACTCCATTATATTCAATCTTACCCTTTTTCACAGGATTACACATTATACGATGCTGCATCAAACCAGGTATGTTATCAATACTTTTAAGGTGGTATTCTGCTTCTTTTACCGAAAGTACCTTTAGCCACATTTTATTTGCTCATCAAAAATGTTAAATTGAAAAAAATCTAAAGAAAAAAGTTTAAGAAAGAAAATACTCTATCGCACATTATTCCTATCCAGACATGTGAAATGGTCTCTGTAAGTTTCCGTAGGCAACAACCTTCTTACAAACAATGATAATTCACGTTTCCCTGTTTTTTCTTCTTCTCTTATCCCAGGCGAGTTCGGATGCTGTCGTGTGTGGCGCCTTCCATCCTTTTGATGACACGACGATGGTGATAGCTGGAAGACAACATCTCTACTTCTGGACCCTGACTGATAATCGACTGGTCAGGGATAAGAGGAGTGGAACATGGGATGTACGTATTAAGGAGGAGGAGAAGGAGGGGCATGAGGAGGACGGGGAGGAGGAAGGATGAGGAGGGAGAAAGAGGAGGAGGGGAGGGGAAGATGAGGTGGAAGGAGGAGGAGGAGGAGGAGGAGGAGGAGGATGAGGAGGAGGAGGAGGAGGAGGAGGAGGAGGAGGAGGAGAAGGACGGGCATGAGGAGGACGGGGAGGGGGAAGGATGAGGAGGGAGAAAGAGGAGGAGGGGAGGGGAAAGATGAGGTGGAAGGAGGAGGAGGAGGAGAAGGAGGAGGAGGACGGGCATGAGGAGGACGGGGAGGGGGAAGGATGAGGAGGAGGAGGAGGAGGGGAGGGGAAAGATGGGGTGGAAGGAGGAGGAGGAGGATGAGAAGGAGGAGGAGGAGGAGGAGGAGAACAGGCATGAGAAGGACGGGGAGGGGGAAGGATGAGGAGGAGGAGGAGGAGGGGAGGGGAAAGATGAGGTGGAAGGAGGAGGAGGAGGAGGAGTAGGAGGAGGAGGAGGACGGGCATGAGGATGACGGGGAGGGGGAAGGATGAGGAGGAGGAAGAGGGGAGGGGAAAGATGAGGTGGAAGGAGGAGGAGGAGGAGGAGGAAGAGGACAGGCATGATGAGGACGGGATGGGGGAAGGATGAGGAGGGAGAAAGGAGAGGAGGTAAAGGGGTGAAGGAAGAGGAGATGGATTTGAAGGAGGAGGAGGAGAAGATGGTGATGAAGGATCGAGGAGGAGGAAGAGGGCGATAGGGACGATGATAAGAATGGGGAGGCGCTTAATTATGACAATGATGACAATGATGACAATGATGACAATGATGACAATGATGATGAAGATGAATATGAAGATTGTTGGCGTTGACCTTATAGTGAAATCAAAGGGTGAACGGATATTCAAAGACACCGACATGATTATGATGAAGACAATGATAGTGGTGGGGATACCGATGATGATGATGAGTATTTTAATGATGATGATAAAAATGCTAGTGATAATGAAAACAATATTGCTCCCTTTCTTATACAGGGTGAGAAGCCAGCGTATGTGACGTGTATCGAGTTTTCACACACAGGGGATGTACTGACCGGAGACTCTAACGGCAGCATTACGGTCTGGGAAAAAGGTCAGTTAGAACTGTAAATGTATTATTTATTTATAATTTATTCGGCACTTTCAAGAAATATAACAATCAAACATTATTATCATGGTGATTAAAAAATAAACAATCAATTTCATCTTTTCGCATTAAATGTCCGTTGACACAGTGGGGCCCTTAATTTCTTGTGATAACAGAATATATGATAATGCATGTTACATTCTTTGAATTGGTTTGTTGTGAACAAGTATATTATCTTCTTGTATCCATTTCGTATTGCTATGGTGTTTCTATACAGATACGGATTTCACATTCAAACTGCGCTACATGGTCCAGCATGCCCACGAGCGCAGTGTCTTTGCCCTCTGTATGCTGGACGATGGAACCCTGTTGTCTGGTGGCGGCCTGGATAGGAGGTTGCTGGCTTGGGACTCTCACAGCGGTTACACATCATCTAAGGTCGAAAGATTGGTGAGTATATATACACAGGGGCGGACCTATAATTTTTGTTAAAAGGGGGAGGGGTGGACAATGTCAAAATAGTCCTGAGTAGCAGCAGGAGAGAGAGAGAGAGAGAGAGAGAGAGAGAGCATTCTGATGTCTGGTGGTGGCCTGGATAGGAGGTTGCTAGCTTGGGACTCGCACAGCGGTTACACATCATCTAAGGTCGAAAGATTGGTGAGTATTATATACACAGGGGCGGACCTAGAATTGTGTAGAAAGAGGGGAGGGGGAGGGGTTTGGATTTTAAAAATCTCAGAAGTAGGAAACAGATATATATATTGGTAGCTATATATAAAGAGAGAGAGAGAGAGAGAGGGAAAGAAAGAGAGAGGAGAGAGAGAGAAAGAGAGAGAGAAAGAAAGAGAGAGAAGTCGAGAGGGGAGGGGGTGGGGGGACTGATGTGAATGGTTAGGAGAAGCAATGAAGAAAGTGATACTATATACGTCATGAATGTTATGTGACGTTAATAAACAAATAATGTCGAATTCGCCCTTTAACGTCTCTTTCTCACTTTATTACAGTTTCCAGAAAATGCTGGTGGTATTAGGACCATCGCTCCCCTGAATCCCGGTAGTCCAGACGGTCTAATTGCCATAGGAACGACCCGGAACCACGTCATGGAGGGGTCACTCCAGACTAAGTTCAAATACGTGCTACAGGTATTGAAATAAATATTCGAAGATTTATTTATACTTATTTGAATATCTAACAAACAAAGGAGCCTTTCGCTAATATTAAATATAACTAAACCTTTTGTTAAATATTCACCGCAGCTCATCTTACACAAGATAATTAAATGATGCAATGCTTTCAGCATCCCAAGTCATTATTATTTAGCATATTTCAAGAATGAACATGATTTTTATGAGTGTTGGCTCAGTCAGTAGAGCGTCCGCCTCACAACCGGGAGTTCGTGGGTTCGAACCCCGGCCGAGTCATACCAAAAGACGTTAAAAGATGGGAGTTGTTGCTACCTTGCTTGGCGTTCAACAATAAGGGATAGAGCAACGTCGATCTGGCGCTGCTCAGTGGCTGCCGGGCTCACGATCAATTGGGCAAAAAGAATTTCCGTCAAGTCGGTTTAATAAAATTTGGAGTGAACTATTAGGCTATTATTATTATTATTATTATTATTATTGTTTTTGTTCTTCTTCTATTTAAAGGGTCACAGTGAAGAGCTTTGGTCGTTGGCGGCGCATCCAACCAAACCTGTGTTTGCAACGGCAGGTTATGATCAACACGTCATCAGCTGGAGGGCTGACGTCCACCGCTGTTCGTGGAAAGTCCATGTTGAGGTAAATTCAAACAAACAAACAAACATACACAAAAACTATCTAAACAAATGCAACGGATTTAGCGAACGAACACAAGCAAGAACGCACGCACGCACAAACGAACGAACACATATAGGTACTTCCAAGCTTACTTGACCCAGAGACGATACAAATTCGACAAATAATCAAGGGCAAAAGTTTGGCAAAATATTACCATTACAGTATGTTATTACAATATTGTAGATAACATCTACACTTCTATTGTTACCTAATTTTGTTGTCTTTCCTTCTTATTCTTTTGTTATCTTTATGAAATGGTAATATATATAATGTTCTTTTATCTTGGTTCCTAAAATAATGGTGTGTCCCACAGAAATGCTGCGTGTGTTGTGCGTTTAGCCAACCATCTGGAAACGTGTTAGCTGTGGGTACGACGGGAGGACGCTTCATGATTCACAGTTCAGAAGATGGTTTGCACATCACTTCGGTACAGCTTGGCAAAGAACAGATAGATGTCATCCAGTATTCATCAGGTAAGAGGGTGATGATGAGGATGAAGAGGAGGAGGGGGAAGAAGAAGAGGAGGAGGGGAAAGAGAAGCACGAGGAGGAGGAGGAGGAGGAGGAGGAGAAAGAGGATGAGGATAGTGATGATGATGATGATGTTGATGATGATGATGTTGAAGATAGCATTAGTGATGATGATGATGATGATGATGGTTGAGATGGTAATGAAGATGAAGATGATGATGATGATGGTGATGACTATGCTGATGGTAATGATGATGAGGATAATGAAGATAATAGCGTTGGCTGGGATCATTATGATGATAGCAGTGATGGTGGTGTTGATGATGATGATTATGATGATTATGATGATGACGATGGTGATGGTGATGATAGCGGTGATAGCGATGTCGAGGATGAAGATGATGATAACTGATGTTGATGTTGGTAGTGTTGTTGATGATGATTATGATGATGATAGTGGTGGTGGTGAGGATACTGTCGATATTAGTGGCGTTAGTGGCGATAGTGGTAATGATGTGGCGGTGGTGCCGGTGATGACGGTGGTCGTCCTGGTAAGGATGGTTATGATGATGATTAGGTAGATGGTGATTAGGAGGAGGAGAATGAGGAAAATGGTGGTGCTGGTGGTTCATAATAATAATCTTGATGGCGTTCTTGTTGATTGAAAGAACAAACACTCATACAATTAAGACAAATTAAACCATGTCTTTTGAGGTATCAATTCATGACAGATCTACTTATACAGTGAATCTCCATTTCAATATCGGATTATGCAAATTTGAACTTAATACAATAACATAAAACCACCTCGCTGTAACATTTATCTTCATGCTTTTGGTTTATCCACAGACGGTTCTCTTCTTGCACTTGGATCACATGACCACTGTATTCACATCTTCTCTGTAATGGATGAGGGCCATGTCTACAGGAAATTAGGCGTTTTAGAGGTGAGTAGGTGATAGAGAACATGAGCAGAAATCCCGGAGAGGAGGTGGCGGTCCCCGACCGTCTTTATATGGGGCGTACTTCATATGCTCGCACCCCCACACACACATACTCACACACACACGCACACGCACATACATAAACAAACCGCAATTTAATGTATATTAATATGCTCGGAAAATGTATCACCCGAATAAAAGGCCGAACTTTTAGATCTATACAAGTTCAAAATATACATGAGGACCTTTTTTTTTTCCTTATCAGAAATTGTTTTGTTTTTCTTTTCACAAGTGAATATCTAACCCAGATATGAACGTAGCAACAAAATTAGAAGGTAAAGTGAATATAACTTGGGCAACCATATATATACCGTCTCTTATTTAAACATAGTTATCAAAGCCATTAAACACCCATGATTTACCTTTCGGCTAGTGCCTTAATTCGCGTAGATTTGTTGTGAGTGTATTTGTGTGTGCGTGTTTGTGTGTGTGCGTGTGCGTGTGTGCGTGTGTGTGTGATTGTGTATGCAGGGGCAGATCTATGATTGTAAAAAAAAAAGGGGGGAGGTGTGGAGATTTCCCTGTAATTGTTTTTCTTGGTTTAGTTTTTAGTTTTTTCCTGCAAAATTAATTCGGTTATCACCACATTTTTCTTTGGGATTAGGGGTGAGTATGGGGGCAAGGGTGGGGAAATATAGAAAGATAAGAATATTCCAAACATTCCACGAAATCAGAAATCCCGAAAGAAGATTAGAAGAATTTTTCCCAGAGTATGACAAAATCGTTTCATTGTTCACCTTTATATTAAAGACTGATATTTTCCCACGCCCCTATCCCGAATCCGCCAAGTAAGATAGATAGTTATTATGCCGATTATCGGTTAAAAAATTAAACGCTTTTATATTTTCATATGTACCACAGGGACACGGGAGTTTTATCACTCACCTCGATTGGTCGGACGATGGCGCCTACCTGCAAAGCGTCTCGGGCAACTACGATCTTCTATTCTGTAAGTATGAAAGTAACAAATTCTTCCCCATACGTTATCAACCACAGCCTAAGATTTCAATTAACCTGCGCCCCTTTGCATAATTTTGCCATTGATGGTAACTCTGCCATTAAGGGAAACTTCCATGAAAACCTTGATTTGTGCAACGGGGCCCTGGGCAGCGTTTCACGAAACAGTCGTAACTAAAAATTCACCGACAACCTTTTAAAACGCATAAATATAATATGCGTTTCAATGGGATGTCGGTTAACTAGCACTTGTGACGGTTTTGTAAAACCTGCCATAATAACTGTATCAAGCTGCTATCTCTTATCGGACAAAAAACAGAAGTTATGTGGCGTGTGAAGGCACTTTAATTTGAGGATAAGCCAGCTATTAGTTAAAGCCTTGGTCACAAATGCCATTACGAACTGCTACGAACGCCGTACGAACGATTTTCAGACAATGAAAATTCGGGAAGACAATGAAAAAACAGGAAAATTTGTACGCATCGTTCGTACGAACCTTTGTGACCGCAGCTTAACATGAACTCTCGTCGTTTTTAGTGGATCGTTGTTTATAATTTCGAGGTTTCGCAACATAATTGTTTTGAACTACGACGGGACCGCGAACATTTCACGATCTCTGTTTCTTTATATCCTTCATTTTAGGGGATATTGATAATCTACAGCGCGTGAAGGCCGGTACAACGAGGGACGTGGAATGGGATACACATAGCTGTATACTTGGATATTCAGTATTAGGTGAGAGATGATGATAATACCAATGGTACTACGACTACTTGTACTAATGATGATGATGATGATGATGATCAAGGATGACGATGATGACGATGATGGCAATAATAATAATAACGTTTTATTTACCCAGGGTAGCCACTTCAGTTATGAAACTGCTCTTCCAGCGGGCCCTGCATAACATAATATGTTATTACTACCCTTCTCCAATCTAATATCCTGAGCGCCTAGCTAGAAGGCAGAAGGTCCCATTGTTATAAGTCTTTGGTATGACTCGGCCGGGGTTCGAACCCACGACCTCCCGTTGATGAGGCGGGCGCTCTAACCACTGAGCCACCATGCATGATGATGATAATGACGACGATGATGGCGATAATGGTTATAATAATGATAATATCAATAACAATAATGATAATAATACTTCTACTACTAATACTAATAATTATAATAATGATAATAATGAAAATAATAGGCAATTGCAAATATATAGTGCTCTTTTAACAGCACTTTACAAACATATATACATGACTGTATAGCATATTCAAAATAACAGCCTTCCTTAAAAACAATATATTGTTGATTACAAACTTTATAAAACCATTGCTACTGGAAAAAATTATTGCCCGACATTAAATAGGCTAAAATCCGTCCATTAGATCGAGGTTTATACTCGGATTAAAGTTAATACTCGGATTAAAGTTAATACTCAGATTAAATTTAATCCACTTTTAAACCGACCATCATAATCATTTGCAGGTATCTGGCCGGGTCAAGACAAAGGCACGGACGTGGACACTTTAGCTAGGTCCACCAAGAACAGGATGCTAGTAGCAGGGAACAACATTGGGGCTATCTCGGCCTACAGGTACCCCTGTACCTCGTATAAGGTAACAATCACTTGATCATATGGGATGAGTAGGGGGGTACAATACCGGAAGTATCTGACGAACGAAAATAGAATATTTGTGTGGACTTAAGAAATAAATACTGGGTTTAAACAGGTGGCATGGTCTTGAGAGTGGTCTCATTCTTAAGATGGAGTGGTTAAATGCTGAGATGAAGAAAGCCATGAGTGAGGAAACTTCTACTAAAAATTAGAGCCATATTAAGGGCATTAACACATATAAATTTTACACATAAATTAAACGCTTTTCTTCCTCGTCAGACAAGTCGTGAATTCCTCCCACCCCATATCTTGGCCTCTTTTTCAAATTTGCTATCTTCTGCCCCCCCCCCCCCCCCCCCCCCCTCTCTCTCTTTTTCACTTTCAATCTCTTATAAAAGGGTCATGTACAAATATTTTAAAAAAGAATGTTTGCTGAGAGCCTGTGTAGATTTGAAGAGTTAATGTTTTTCTGGTGTTCCAACAGACACTCAGCAGATGCAATAAATATCTGACATTTTTGTGTGTGTCTTCATTTCTCTTAGGCTCGTTCGACTGACATCAAACACCACAGTTCACACGTGACCGCCATCGACTTCCTGTACAACGACCATTACGTCATCACGGCGGGTGGTCACGACGCAGTCATCATGCAGTTCACTCTGGTGGACAAGATGGGTGATAAGTTCGACAACCTTGCCGATAGTTTATGATGACCAGGATGACGCCATGAAGGGGGTGGGGGAGGCACTGGTCATCCACAAGCCTTTAAACCTTCTCTTATCTTTTTGTGTAAAAAGGTAGAAGACTATTTGCAATTTGTGAAAGATTATACAGGCAAGTCGGGTTACAGCCGATGATGTCGGTGATTTCGTACCCCATGACGGTTTAGCGCAACGTCCCTGGATCCGTAAGCACTTTTGTTACTTCCTTCGCCTCTCTGAACTGGCGTCCGCTTGCCACACGTGGAATCTGCACAAAACAATAGACACCGATTGACGGAAGGATTGCTTTGTGCAACACAGTGGCTTTGAAAATTCATCCATTTCCGTTCTTGATTTATAATTCCTTTAAACACCGGTACAGTTGGAAAAAAGATAAATTATCTTGAAGCCTGTGATGGACTCAATATAGACTTCCTGTACTTGACACGTTGTTGCAATAAAGAGAATAACTCGGGCGTGTAACTTGATTCTTGATGCCTTCTTTAATCTCTTGTGGTGTACAAACGTAGTGAATAATAAACCATTCAACAACTGTGTTGGTTACCCTGTAAGCCAAACAGAAAAGAACAAAATATTCATAAGATCAATGTATATCCACACATGGAATGTTACATTGTAGTTTCAAACCCTAATAAACAATTCCACATTAATTGTGATGAATAAGAAATAATTAAAAGTTTTTCCCTAATTATCTCATGCTAGTATTTCACAAAGTGTGTTTTGAATTAATGTGCTTCTTCAACAAAAGAATGAATCCAAAATACCTTGTTAAAAAAGAAACATATAAAACATGCATATGTCCTGATCATGATTGCATAACACTATTAACATATGAAACGCCTAACTTTAAACCTAGCTATAAGCGTAAGCCTTATCACGCAGAAATTTGGTTGAAATATCACTCCGCCGCCGACATTGTGCGTAGAGCGTTTCCTAAAGAAATCCAAGTAAAAGTAAAAAATATAGTTCCCGCAGGAACGTTCCTTGTTCCACATCGTATACACAATTTACATAAATCTGCCTTTCAACTGTGACTCTTGCACATATTCTACATCAACCAAATACTAATTTCATGCTAATCACTTTCCTTTTCAAGCTAAAAACAAAGGCACTTTACTTTCAACATCAAAGCTCGACAATCAATCAACATAAATCTGTGTGCATGAATGAATGCACTCGAAACGATAAATGGCCATGCAAACTATCAAATAACTGCTACTTATCTTAGATGCTATTTAAAAAACATTATGACAAATTATTCCAGAAACATACCTTCAAGTATAGGGTGAAACTTTAGGAGTTATTATGAAGTCTGGAAGTCATACTGGTGCAAATAACTGCTACGAACAAACTCGGACGATTAGCAAACTGCTGTGTATAATGCAAGTGCGCAATTCTTCAATTAATGTTGCTAAGATACCATGTTACGTAGTTTCTTGACCAGTCGCTTAAACAAAAACAATCATAAATTACAGTTAAAAACAAATCATGTACATAAATCATGTCATTTCATGACATTCCAACCCCCTTAAAAGTGACGGGATGTCACAATTCAACGGAGAATATAAACACTCAATTGTGTTCCGTTTAACAGTCCTTCAATTACAGTCTTTAGTTCGTAATATAAGGAATCCGATGTGCTTTCATCTTCTGGGAACAATCAACTGTCAAGGCTAAAAAAGAAAAATGTTCAAAAAAAGACATTAACCTAAAGTCACTAAAAAGTCAATGTTCGACAAACTTTTCTATCAGTTTGAGTCACTCTAAATCGATCTCGCTCTGACTTCTTCATAAGGAGGATGAGCTTTGTCACTGGTTTTCTCGCGATTACACCATCCGCATTTTTGACATCTACAATCCTCACAAGATCGTCTTTCCCTGGGTACGCTTTCACGACAACCGCCATCTTCCAAGAGCCGCGAGCCTTATTGTCACCAATGATGAGTACAACGTCGCTCTCTTCTAGGTTCTCAGTTGATTGCTGCCACTTTTGGCGCGGAGAGAGTGTCCGAATGCATTCCATCCAGCGTTTCCAGAAACCATCTACCATGGCGTTGCAGACTTTTCTTCGCTTTCTCAAATCACCTTTGAAGTCATCGTAAGGAATCTGAGGGCAGGAGAGGTCTCCTCTTCCAATGAGAAAGTGATTTGGGGTTAATAGTGGATGATCCAGCGGTGATGAGGATTTAGCTGTGATGGGACGACTGTTGATGAGCCCGGAAATCTGCGAAAAGACTGTTTCCCACTCGGAAAATGTCAGTCTGTCAGCTTTGATGAGATGTCGCATTCCCTTCTTCACCTCTTGAACTATTCGTTCCACCGCTCCTTGGTGGTGAGGTCCTCCAGGAGGTCCGAATCGCCACTCTGCACAGTATCTCAGGCAGCGCTCCCTCACTCGATCATGGTCTAACTTCAGGTTCAATTTGTTTATGGTATTATCAGCTCCCCTGAAACAGGTTGCATTGTCGCTTATCAACATGGATGGAGCCCCTCTGATACTCACAAAGCGTTCAAGGGCTTGTAGAAAGGCATCAGTGGATAGGTCGGGCACACAAGTCAGATGAACAGCTCTCGTCACTGCACACGTGAAGACTGCACCATATCCTTTCGTAGTAGTGTTTCGACTCAACTTGACATTCACTGGTCCTAGGTAATCAACTAGGGTAGTCTGGAACGGAGGTGAACAACGACCGACTCGGAAATCTGGAAGGTCCGACATCTTCTGCTGAACAGGTTTACCTCTGTGTCTTCTGCAGATGACACATGCACGGACAACACGTCTTGAGATGCCAGTGTCGCCCACGATCCAGTACTTTTTTCTGACCTCAGTGGCTGTGCGTAGATGGCCCCCATGAAGAGAGTGAGCATGGGAGTCTTGGACGATCAACCAGCTGATGTGGCTCTTCTTTGGGAGAAGGTAAGGATGCCGTACATCATAGGATACTGGTGCGCGGTCCATTCGTCCACCAACACGGAACACTTGGGTCTCCTCGTCAAAGAATGGGTCCAGCTTCATGATGTTTGGATCCTGGAAATTGATTCCTCTCTGTGCGTGACGGATCCAATATAACTCAGCCTCTCGTACAAGCTTACGGGACGGCCACTGTGAAATCTGATTTGTGAGTTGTTTCAACCTCTTGTCCTTTGGCAGATCCCTCACAGACAATACTCTGGCAGTCACCATCTTGAGCTTGGGCCAGCTGGAGAATTTCGAAGCTTCAATGATTGGTGATGCCTTGCACACTGCACTGACACTCAACGCAAATGACTTTGCATTCCGGGTGTGAAACTTTTTCCTCTCGGTGTCCTTTGGGTCTGTCGGGACATTTTCTGGTGTCTTTGGCCATAGCGATGGGTGTAGTTTCAGGTAATCAGGCCCATCTATCACCTGCTTCATCTCGGCTGCAGTTCCTCCTCTAGACACCAAGTCGCTGGCGTTCTGGGCCGATGGCACATAGGCGATGTCCATGATAGGATCAAATCTGGTTGTTATCTCACCCACCCTGTAGGCAACAAAGGCACGGAAAGATTTAGATTGACCCCTTAACCAGCTGATGGCAGTCATGCTGTCAGTCCATATTTTGCAGTATGTTATGTTGAAGCGAAGTGCATCTTTGATGGTACACATCAGTCTCGACAACAGGATGGCCTGTAGTTCTTTCCTTGGCATGCTCGATTGCTTCAGAGGTGTGAGCCTTGCTCTAGCACATACAAAGGACAGCTCTGCTTCAGTGCTTTCTGGGTGTGACCACCTGAGCCACACTCCCATGCCCATTGCGTCTTCGGATGCGTCGCTTGCACCGTGTAATGACACCTCGGGTAACGGTCTCACTCCTTTGAACTTCTCTGGGATCAGGCATCTTGGTATTTCAACATCTGTTGCTTCTTCCAGATCTTTGTTTATGGCATCTAGAACTGTACAGAGTTCTCCTTGGGGGTTGATGGGTGTATCCCAATCTAGGTTCAATTGCCATAGCTTTTGAAGGAAGATCTTTGGCCGAACTAGTATCCCAGACAGTATTCCAAACACATCATAGTAGGATGCTGTCTGCTTCAGGATGCTACGCTTTGTTGGTATACCCTTGTCAGGCCTCACCTCTTTGACGCTCAAAGTGTCTTTCTCCAGATTCCACCTGGTGCCAAGTATTGTAGCTGACTTGGTATCTTCACTTTCATCGCAAACCTCCTGCTCATTGGACTGCCATTTGCGTAAGTTGAACTTGCCCTTCCCCAAGATCTCTGTGAGTTTCGATTTGAGTTCGAGCGCTTGCTTCAAGTCAGGTACGGACTCATTCAAATCATCCATGTAGAACTGCTTGGAGACTACTTCTTTCAGTCCCTCATCATGCGGTGCATGTTCGTGGACAACATGTCGGAGTGTGATGATGGCAGCCGTTGGAGATGGTTTGTCCCCGAAAGTTACTGTAGTGAGCTCAAACACCTGCATTGGATGGCTAGGATTCTCTCTAAAGATGAAACGATGGAATCTGGCGTCATCTGGCTTGATTTTGATAGCCTGGTACATCTTGCTTATGTCTGCTATGACTCCTACCTCCTGTTCTCTGAAACGTAGGGCCACTTCAAAAAGGTCAGAATTTGCATTCTCCCCTTTCATCAGGTAATCATTAAGTGCATGTCCTTGAAATCGTGCTTTCCCATCATATACCACTCTGACAGGGGTAGTAGACGAGTCCTTTGTGACAGCAAAATGCGGAAGAAACCACATTTTCTTTCCTGCAGCTCGATCTTGTCTCAACTCTTCCTCGGTCACCTGTCTAGAAACGCCTCTCTTAAGCTGGTCTCTCATTTGTTTGCAGTACACCTCCCACTTTTCAGGCTTGTTAGCAAATTGCTTCTCAAGATGTTTTTGTCTCTTGACGGCATACTCATAGTTGTCTGGGATATTCTCAGGGGATTTCCTCCATGGAAGTGCTACTTCATAGGCTCCATCTGGAAGTTGAGACATGCTTTGCTGCATGATTTCTGTAGCATTCCTGTCTAGGAGGTCTGATGAACATCTGCACCGCTTGGGTTCCAATCCCATAGTCTCTAGCCCGATGAATTCTTCTATGGGACCGATAGCAGAGACGTTCACATAGTTTGAAAGTCGACTGGTACTGGATGAATGTCCTCCTTGGATGAACCATCCCAAGGGGCAACGAACTGCAACTGGGTCATCAGATCTCTGACCACGTATGAACTCTTCCCAGATCATGAGATGGGTGTTATCCACCCCCAGTAGTACATCAATGGTTATTGAAGGGGCAGTGCTAACCTCGATATCACTCAAGTGGTCATACTGGCACAGATCGTCGGCTTGAATGATTGGAGCATTCCCACAAGGCTTGTCGATCTCTATCATTGTCAGTGGGTAAGTCCGTTTTCCTTCC